TGGATGAAATTAATTCACTCAGGTTCTCTGCAATCTCCTTATTTTCCTTCCGTACTCCTCTACCACCACTGGTATCAAATGGTCCTACTGATTTTTCAAACCAGGTCTGAAACTACTTTTTAAAAAATGATCAGTACAATCCTAAACTTTAAGACAGGAGGACTTGCGGGCCTGTAAATGGTGTTGGATGACAATGCCCATCAGCTCTGACATTTGGCCACAATGCCTGGGATAGATGGGAGCTGGAGTCCCCGTTCTGGACATCTGCTCAACCACCCCAGGTGGACTATGATTTAGTACTAAGATGACCAGGGCTTTTTTTGTTATAGAATGCGCCGGAACGGTGTTCTGGCACCTTTTTTCGATGGATTTTTCCACGTGATTTTGAATTGCCCTGTCAGGCAGAGCAGGTCGGTGGCAAATCATTAAAATGGTGCATGCGGGCTTCTTGTGTGTCCACGCTGGTTGTGAGGGTGCTGCTCGGCTTGTGACGCTGCTCGGCTAGTGATTGGTCGTGTGGTTGCACGCTGAGTGCTTACTGCGGGCGGCAACCATTATGTTTCATTACACAGTGTTGGTGTGTGTAGAGTGACTGGGTACATGCAAAAGGTAAATAATTCCTTTATTTTAAAAAAAGTTGGTGAATTGAAAATCTTTTTTTTAATTTTTAGTGCAAAAGAGTGACCCCAAATTTAAAAATGAAAAAATTACTAATTACTTCTCAACCACCGGTCCTGCTAATAAAAGATTACCCTAAAAAAACCCTAAATATAAGATTAAAAAGATGTGAGTTCCAGCACTTTTTTTTTTTTTAACAAAAAAGCACTGGAGCTAACTCAAACTGGTTTCATAGTCACCAGCTTAATTATTCCTCACAACTACCCTGGAAAGTAGGCCCAAATTTCCCCAGTCGCTACAATTGAGGGGGTCCAAGGAAAAACCTCTTGGAGTTATGCCTACCCAGAGCAGCTGTTAGGAAAATGTGGTGGACCAAGGCAGCTACAGAGCCTCTGAGAACAACATTTCTCAGTTCGAATGAACTTTGTGATGGCTCTTCCCTTACTTCTCTCAGCTGTGTGCAAACACACTGGCATCAGGATCGGTGCCTATTGTCATTTCCAGGACTTTTAAAGAGCTGCTTCCAGAAACCCAGCTGGGGTTGGTTTTTCTGTTGAATTCCAACCTGTCACAAGAGGCTCCATGGTAGCAGAGGTGGGGGAATGAATCAATGTGTTTATTTTGGTTGTAGCCCAGAAAAGAGAGGTGGGGAATTGTCCATCCCATGGTGAGGAAGCATCAAGACAGCATGTTGTGTGTGTGGGATTCTTTCCATGCTGGCAAAAAGCATCAGCGTGGGAAGAATTGAGAACAAACTGCTTTTCTGTCTTCCCCCAGCCTGTTTGGGATATCGATGGAAATCAAAGCGCTCCAGGTTCCGTGGGTCCCACATGATCTCTGTATCTCCTGGCAAAGTCTCAAAAGCCTGGGGCCAGTGCGGCTTGAGGGATCCAACGGAAAACTGGGCTGCGGAATGGAAGGGGAAGGAAAGTCCATTTGCCAGTAGCTGCAATATATGCAGTTTCTTCAGCGACTGCTGACCCAACTACGCGGTGGCAGGAACATGCCATCCTCACACACTTCACAGGGCAACAGTAAGCACCCTGCTTTTCTAGTTGCTTGAAAGAGTTGCCACTGTTCCACCCACAAGGGCCCAGGAGCTGAAGGCTGTTCTCGCACCGTGCAAAGCAAAGGTGGCTCCTGCAGGGGCCCGAGGGCCAGTATTCGTGTCGGGCCATGCTGTGGCCGGGGTGGTGCCCGCGTAGGCCACCTGCTGGCACTGGTGGCTTGCGTGGATGGATCAGGGCCAGCCCTACCTCCGGACAGCCAAGTCCACATGTCATGAAAAGGCTGCATCATGATGCTTTGAAGCGGGGAGGGACTCGAGAGATGTTTGGCTGTCTTTTTTAGTCTCGATGCCAAAATAACTGGGGGCCCTAATGTGTCTGTGTGTAAGTGGAAGAGTTCTGCTTTTTCTGATGTGTCTCACACAGCAAAATGTCTGGGGTCAACACAATGGGTGACCAACTTTTCCCTTCCAAAACTGCATCGGACCCTAAACCCCATGAGAGGAAAGCGTTTTGCAAATGGATGGTGTAGGTAAGAAATGGACCATGGGTTTGCGGTCTTGACTGGGGACCACGGTGCCCCACTCCCAATTTATTTCCTGGGTCCCCAGTTCCCTTCCATAGGGCCCTGAAAACACCATCGGGACCAACATAATCCTCTCCCTCATTCCCGTCAGCTCAGTAGCTATGCAGGGGCTATTTTAAAGGGGTTTTTTATTTTTATTTATTTTTTGATTTATATCCTGCCTTTTTCCTACAAAGGGCTCAAGGCAGCTTACATCTGCCTCCTCCTGCATCTTATCCCCACAACAACAACCCTGTGAGGTAGGTTGGGCTGAGAGTCTGTGACTGGCCCAAAGCCACCCAGGTGGCTCCATGGCTGAGCGGGGACTCGAACTCAGATTGCCTGAGTCCCAGTCCCACGCTCATATCCACTGCACCACACTGGCTCTCGGGTTGGGGCTGGGGAGGGAAATAATTTATTTCCCCACATCCCCTGCATGCCAATGAACTAAGCTTAGCAAAAAAGAATGTTTTTCCATCAGCTGGGCTGATGGAAAATGTTTTTCCATTCACCTTGCCTTGGATGAGAGATGAAGTGGCTGACAGATTCCTCTGAAATGGAAATAAACCCGACCTCTTATTATTTGATTGGCAGCGATAAATATCAACTGGCACATGAAAGTGTACAGATTCATCTCTATGAGTCTGGGCCCCAGATCTTTTAGGAGCCTAGGAATACTTTTGCTCCTGGAATTGGGCCCAATGATACACCGAGCCCCATTTTCTGTTTCCAACAGGGGGTGGCTAGACTAGCAAAGAGTCACATGCCTTTTCAATGGTGGTGCCCACCATGGGAGGTTCAGAGATAAAGATAGACTGCACCAGGCCCAGATGCTCATTTCACTGTTGCAGCACATGGGGGCTGGAAGGGAAAGAATCAGAGAATCTGCATGCAATCCAGGATGAAGGGTGTGGGGTGGGGTGAAGAGCTGAAAAGACACTGCTCTTCACGGTTATGGGAGCCACAGTCTTACTGTCTCCCGTCTTCCCAGTGCACCCCCCCCCCCCACTCTGGACCAAAAGCTCTGGGTAGATGGTTGTAGCAGCAGGAAGCCTCCTCCCCCGCCTTCTTTCTAGCGATTAAGATTAATGGGTTTGTAAAAAGGTTGCCAAGTTGCCATCTTTTTAGGACCATGGGATGCAATTTTCAAGGACCTCTGGTATGCAGAGAGGGGAAACCAGGACTGCAAGCAAAAGAAGCCACCCTGAATCTAACCTTTCCTGCAAGGGGGTTTGAATTATAACTCTTCTCAACCTCGGCCATTGGCCAGGCTGGTGGGAGAGGTGATGGGAATTGCAGTCCTGCAACATCAGGAGGGTGCTGCGTTAGAGAAAGCTGAGACAGAGCAAATGCGTTTGTAGATACATATCCTCCAGAGGTTTTGAACTACAACTCCCAGTGGATTTAGCTGGCATAGCTGAGGATCAGGGATGATGGGAGCTGTAGTATAAAAGGCCTGCCCGAGAAAGGTCTTCCTCTTTCTCTAGTGTGCAGGACAGTGGAAATATAATTTGTACTTCACTGGGGACACATCGCATGTCTCTATGAGAGGGTATTGTACTGTAGGAAGTGTCCAACCTCTTTTACTGAAGACCAGATTCCATTTAGGAGAAGCACCCAGCGAAGGCGAAAAGGGTACATGGGATCTCAGCCTATTTTTGGTTCAAGTTCATTCTGCCGTCAAAGCCTTCTACTTTTTTGAGTGAGGAAACTGCACAAGATACCCCCAAATGACTGGTGACTGGGAGAACAGGGGCAGAGGAAGGGAAGGGGCTTTGGGGGAACAGGCAGGGATGTAAGGTGGGGCTGATTTTGCCCTTGGGCTGGGGTCTTCAGACCCCCATCATGTGGCCTATGCTAGACTTGTAAAGTTATCCCTGGATGTGATTTTCAATCCTGGTTTAAGGGGCACTTGATGCAAGAATTTTCCAAACCAAGTCAAGCCATGCATTTCTCCATTTGCCTTCCTCTAAATACAGTCAGAATTCACTCCTAGACACTCATTCACTCATTTACATCTGAAGTGACCCAACATCTAAATATTCTTCCCAGGGGCTCATGGGAAGCTGCTGGGGCCTTGACTTCCCTGTTCCGGGAGCCATGGGGTTTCCTTTTCAGAGAGTTGGGGGCATTTTGGAAGTGGGTAGGCGGGCTGTACCATGGGGACTAGCCTCATTTATAACAACACTTAGCACTTCTGATGTGGTTTAAAGTGTTCAAGGTGATTTACAACAATCCAGGAATATCAGCCATGGCTTTCTTGCAAGGGCCGAAGACTCCTTGGGCTTCCATTTTCCCCGTCAAGAGACATACTCACATCAAAGGCTCTTGAACATTTGCAAAACGGGGCTTGTTCTAAAAGTAGAAAACACACCTTTCCGGGTCAGCAATAGCATTAGACATATCTAGTCATTTCCCCTCTGTCTCTAATCTTCCCAGTCTTAGCTTCATTATGATCCATTTCTTTGTCAGTTGGAGAAGTATTTCCCCCTCTCTCCCTGTTCCAAATCTGTGTGAAAACTAATGCAGATTTACATAATTTTCTGTGCCACTGGGCCAAAAATATGCCACTTCAACAGTGGTTTTCTCTGGCATTTCTGTTCTTTGCACCCATGGACATGTCCTGTGTGTGCACATTTCCCCCACAGAGGCAATGGGCCTGACACGTGGGTGTTCCCCAGGTTGGTGCGACGTATTGTAGATCAGCGGATTTGCAGGGGCATGAGTTGTTGAATGCACATGCACACATACATATATATTCATTTGGACAACGGTTCCACCAAGCTCAAAAGAAAGCAGAGCGTGAAAGAGAGCGTTTGTCTTGGACTGCATATTGCTTTAAGACAGTGACATTAGGCAAGTTTGCATGAAAAATGGAAACCAAATGCACGTCTACTCGCTCCCTCCCAGAAATTTGGGATCTCCCGCCTCAAAAGCCCTAGAGAATGGCTAAAGGTGCAATCCTTTGTGTGACGGGCAAAGCTTTCCTCACAACTCCCGGAAATTCCCAGCAGGGAAGTTGTAGGACTTTTCCCATCTAAAGATACATAAGGATTGTGTCTAAAGCCCATCAGACCCCTTCTTTGTGCAGTTGATATGGGGGGGGGAGGGAAACAAGAAGTCGCCCCACATGGGACTCTTGCAGTCACCCCACAACTCAGCACCACAACTCCTCGTCTCCCCCCACAACTCAGCGCATCATACCTGCCAGCCTGTTCCTGATACAGAACGGCTAATATTTTTCCCTTCTTGAAAGAAACCAAAAGACGAACGGAAAGGCAGAGGGAAAAGGCAGGTGAGGGGAGAATGTCCCCTCCTCTCATGTAACCCACAGGATGGGTTAGTCTCGCTTGTCGACATGACAAACTAAAGCAGATTCACCACAAACCAGCTAATGCCACCAAGGAAGTGTGGCTGTTCCCAGTCACCCCTTTGACCTTAGCCATCCTTTGAGAAAAAGCACTGGAATTCCTGGAATTCTCTGCTGGAGCTTGGGGGCACTTGCACCAGAGGTGTGGAACTGCTTTCAGCCCGAGGGCCGCATTTTTTTTCAGAGCGGCTCCCGCAGGCTATCTTCCAGGGTGGGTGGGCTGCGGAAAAAGCGGTGGGACCAACAAGACTTTCCCTGCAGCATTGCAGCTGAAACTGCCAGCCACCAAGTGTCAGGAGAGAGATCTCCGCTTTTTAGAAAGCGGGAAGAAGGTGTCACGAAACCCAGGAGAGCATCAAAAGTTTGGAGGCTGTAGGGACGGCGGAAGTGGTGCCAAGAAAAAAGTTGTGGCCACCCAGGCTGGATTTGGCCTCGTGTTCTCCAGCTGTGAAGGGCTCCAGGCAACCATGAGATGGGGCTCCTCTTCACTCCTTCCTGGCCACCAGCTCCACTTGAGTGGCCCACCTGGAGAAAGGTCTCGACAGACCAGCAGACCCGCCTGCAAGCCAGCACTCCTTCCTGGGGTCGCCCAGGAGGTGAGGATAGGATGACCAGGGGCTTTTGCCTGTGTGTGTGTGTGTGTGTGTGTGTGTGTGTGTGCAAGAAACACAGGAGAATCTCATAAAAAGTGGACAGAACCAGATGGGGAAAGCTAAATGGAATCTGGACGCAGATTACCTGCTTTTCACAATCTGGTACTATGCTCCAACTGAACACTGTAGAACAAAATCAAATTTGAAACAAGGCTGGGCATGGGCTGGGATGGGGAGAACAACTGGTAGGCATCCCCGAATCCTTGTGCATGGCCTTCTGGAACTTTTCTAGCGGCTGCTGTTTCCCATTCGTTCATTTTGCGATTGTCGATCCAGCCGGTCCCGTTAACAACAACGATAATAATCACGGTCGTAGCTTTGCTGGGGCGGGCAGGATGACCTCTGGGCCTGCCCCACCTGCCCCATCAGAAAGGAGGGGGCACCACTCAGCGGTGAGGAAGAGTCTGATGAGGGAGAGCCAGGATGAAGTAACCCCCAAACACACACACGCACACACTGAAGAGGTTCCCCCTTTGTGCAGCAAGTTGCACCTCCCTGGTGACCCCCACGCCCCGACAATCTACAGGCCTGGGAGGGGGCAGCCCAGGTCCTCGTCCTCCAGACTTCCCCCCCCACCCCCGAGGGGGAGAGGCGTCTCCCACTGTCATTCCTGATTCACCCTTCCCGCACTGCCACAAAACCCTGCCTCTGTTTCCCGCGAGGAGGGAGGTTACCAAGCCACGCCGCGCCCCCGTGGCGCCTTATTTGACTGAGGAGGGAGTCCGTTCGATGCCCGTGTACTTCAGGAACTGGCTCAAGTCTGCCAGGGTGTGCTGTGGCCCCAGTGTCGGTGCCCGCTGGGCTCGGGCGTAAGCTGCTGGGCCTTCCCCGCTGTTGAAAGTGTGGGTGCGTCTCAGCTGTGCATTCGCTTTGCTGGTGGCGTTGTTGCTATTCGAGTTCAGCTTGTTGAGGTTCCACTGGGTGGGGTCCCCTGTCTCCCCGCCCGGGGCCGACACCACCCGCCGCCGGTCTGGGCTGTCGTGTGGCGTGATGGGGGGCTCGCCGCCGTAGGAGCTCCGTGTCCCGCCGGGCTGGTGCGAGGACGGCGGCAGCGCCTGCTGCAGCTGCGGGGGCTGCGCCTGGACCCCACGGGGTTCCTCGCCCCCGCTGACGGGCAGGTACCGCATGTCCAGAGAGAGGTCTCCGCCTTCACCCTCCAGCTCCTGGTCCATCAGCATGGAGTGGCAGGCGATGGGGATGACCCGGCCGGAGCTGATGTGGTGCGGCATCTGGCCGTGGCCCGCGTGCAGCAGGATGACGGAGGACGGCGGGTCCCCGCTCCGCAGGGTGGCGCTGATGAGGTTGTGGCTGTACTCCCAGGCGCACGGCTTGGGGCACCGCTTCTGCTGCAGGGGCGTCTGCTCCGGCGTGGGCAGGACGCCCGAATCCAGCTCGTGCTGGCTGACCTTGAGAAGCCCCTTGGGCCACCCGTTCTGCATGAGCGGGGCCAGCAGGTTCTCTGGTGGCCCGCTGCCGGGCCCCCCCCGGGTCCGCCGGTCCCCCAGGCGGCTGACGCTCACCACGGACTCGCTGTGCGACAGAATGCTCTCCTTGTCTTTGCGGCGGGCCAGCTCCTTCCGGTCGCGCTGACCGATGAACCAGCAGACGCTGAAGCCCGAGATCACGGCCCCGATGACGAAGGCCGCAACAGAGGAGATCACGAGCAGGTTCACGGACACCAGACCGTCCGGCTCATCCACGAAGCTTTCGGTCACCAGCCCTGGGAGAGAGGAGAAGGGAGCTGGAATCCTGCAGGAATAGATTAGCCCTAGAAACGCTCTTTAGAAGGCCAGATCCTGAAGCTCAAATCCTTTGGCCACCTAAGGAGAAGGAAGGACTCCCTGGAGAAGAGCCTAATGCTGGGAACAATAGATGGCAAAAGAAGAAGGGGACGGCAGAGGATGAGGTGGCTGGATGGAGTCACTGAAGCAGTTGGTGTGAGCTTAAGTGGACTCCAGGGGATGGTGGAGGACAGGAAGGCCTGGAGGAGTGTTGTCCATGGGGTCGCGATGGGTCGGACACGACTTCGCAACTCACAACAACAGAAATGTGGACTGATGGACACATTACTGGTTCCATAGACCTGAGCGGGGAACCCGAGGGCAAAATCCAGTTCGGAGATGCTCTTGGGAGCCACCTGTTGGTGTTTGTGTGGGGGGGCAAAAACACAGGGGGTGGGACCAGAATTATAAAACAATGCCAGCTTAGTAGCTAAGCCTTCGGGGCAGTTATCCAGGGGGCTTACAGTTCCCTCTGGAAGTGGGAAATCTGCATCCAGTGCAGATAAGTATCATTGTCTAAGAATCCAGCCCTAGATTCCTGAGTGGCTTTTCCTGAGTTGCACAGATTCTGCTGACTATGCATGTTTAAAATTTCCTGTAATTTTATGGAACAGAATATTATGAAAAGAAAAATGAAACTCTAACCAAAAATGGCCATTCCCTTCAGAGCCTAACATGTGAAAATACTCATTTTGTAGAGGCTAACTTGCAAAAATGCTCATTTCAGGGGGGCTTTGCACATGTTTGGGAATGTGAATTTGTGAAAGAATATTTTTGCATAAAATCTGATTCCATGACTGAGCTGATGAAGAAAAGAGGGTGCCTCCCAAGTCACAAAACTAAGAATGGAGTTTGCAACATCTGCACATTTCCACAGGTGGTGAAAGGTGGAGATCCTAGTCCTTTCTAAGACCTCCTTTTGCTGCCCTGGAGGCAGAGCCAGGTTAATTTCCTTGCAACAGGCCTGAGCAGACTGCACGTGTAGCTACAGGATGGAACCAGCAAAATGAGATGGCAAAAACCTTCTGAAGCACCATCATCAAATAATAATAAACACACTTTACGCCAAGATAAAGTGTGGAAAGGAAAAATGGTTCCTTCCCGGCTTGAGAATCCACTGCTCAGCTGCTGTGCTTGGCTTTGGCCCATGGAAGTAAAAGCAATGGATCAACACTTACCTTCACAGTCACCAAGGTGAGAGGTCTTCACGCCACTGATGTCCTGCTCGAAGGCAGCCCTGGGAGAGGGTGCAGAGGGCAGAGATGGAGGGTCACCACTAGGCAAAGGTTCATTAGGTTTTGTGCAAGTGCGCCAGAAAGTTTGCTTTGTTGCATGGTGTGGAAATCTTTCTGTTTCACCCTGACATTTCTTTTCCGACCTCAGTGCATTTCCCAAGACATTTGGGGACCAAATGCCAACATATCTCATACCTGGAAGATGCATTCCAGATCTTCTTTACCTGCTAGAGCATGGGTCCTCAAACTACGGTCCACTGGCCAGATATGGCCTGCCATGGTCATTTACCTGGCCCGCCTCAGAACTTTTGGACTCATTCGGAGAAAACAATCTCTGAACGAGTTCGAAAGCTCAGAGCCGGCGCAGGTGTTCTCTGACACTCTTTCAGAGTTGGAGACTAGTAGAGAGCCGACACACACGCCAAATTATAACAGCTCCCTTCAACTGTGTGTGCACCGGCTCTTTCCCCTATTGCACGCAGAATCCAGAACGGGAATACAGAAGAGAGGAGGGTGGAAGAGAGAGAGAGAGAGAGAGAGAGAGAGATGAAGACACTAAAAAAGGTAAGAAAAATATAACTTTTAAAATCTATTTTTAATCATGTGAGGCATGTCCCTGGGCTGCAGGCCAAACTGTGGCTGCTTCACCGAGCCCAGGGGCAGCTGCTCGAAGGTGGTGGCAGCTTGTCCAGAGAAGCCTGTGGCAGAGGCCACAGCCTTCTCTGGGCAAGCTGCTGCCGTCGAGTGGCCGCCATGCTTCTTCCCCCGTGGAGGGGGAAAGGCAGGAGGCGCACCGCTCGGCCGGCCACGGCCCCGTCCCTCACCTCCCCTCGCCTCGGAAAGGAGCCCTTACCTCCCTCCTCCCAGCCCTCTCCCGGCTGGGGGAGCCGCCCCGCACCCGCCTCTTTGGCCTCTGCTCCCGCTCCGGCTCCCTCGGAACCGGGGTGGCGACGAGGACTATAATTTCCATCATGCGCAACCAGCAGGTCCAACGGAAG